ACATCCTCGCCAGTGAAGCCGATTCTGACGGCTGCCCGCGAGTGTGAACATCCTCACCCAGTGAAGCCGATTCTGACAGCTGCCCACGAGTGTGAACATCCTCGCCAGTGAAGCCGATTCTGACGGCTGCCCGCGAGTGTGAACATCCTCACCCAGTGAAGCCGATTCTGACAGCTGCCCACGAGTGTGAACATCCTCGCCAGTGAAGCCGATTCTGACGGCTGCCCGAGAGTGTGAATATCGCCAGTGAAGCCGATTCTGACAGCTGCCCCATGTTAGGGGCAGCCCAGCTGCTCCCCCACCTTAGCAGGTTCCCACCACCCGTCTCCTCCTCATGGTACACGGCCAGGCCCTTCCGCTCCGAGATCTCATTCAGGTTCTGAGGAAAAACAAAGCCAAAGAGTACATTTAATAGCACACTTTCATATATTTAGCTGTTTAGCTGTAATCTAGCTGGTAAGAAATTATTGCTGTGCATCATGTTCATGCAGGTTTCCATGTTCATTTATCTGTCACTGACAGCACGGTGTTCCACTGGAGCATCAGGTCTGGCCCGTCACTCCAGCAGGGTACCAAAGCAGATCAGCAGGATTACATTGGCAACATTCAGGTTATAAATGCAGACCCTTAACCGCTATGCCACCTGTCAGTGAGCAGAATTAAACACACCCCAGAAGTTTTTCTGAAAGGCAAATTTGTGCAGCACACAATGCAGCTTCAACAAAAAAGGAAAAAGGTCACAAGGATGGAAACAGGAGCAAAGTCACTCCTCCTCCACCTCCACACAGGAGAGGAAAGTACGAATGAGATAGGATGCGATAAATAGATGCAGACTGCCCCCCCCCCCGTTCCTATTTCTCTATTTGGAGGTTATTCTTGCAATACTTATGATTCATGCTACCAATGCGGAGGGGGGTACTCTTGGCACCTTGTTCAGGCAGGGAAACCTCTTCTCGCCATCCAGGCGGGACGCCAGGGGCACCTCACTCTCCCCCAGGGGGTCCAGCGACAGCGCATCCAGGAACAGGCTCTCCGTGCCCCTCTGCCGTGAGCCCGCACGCTCCTCCAGGGGGGCATCGCCGTCGGAGTTGGGCCAGGTAGCGGAGGGGGCCAGGCCTGTGACACGTGGGCTCCGGGGGGACCGGGGAGTCCGAGGACTACCCTGGGGCGAGAAGACCCTGGGGGACCCATCCTTGGCGTCAGAGGAGGGAACGTCAGCACGTCGAAGATTGAGTTCCCTCTGCTGCAGGGGGGGGAGAGGTGCTGTGAGCTGTGTGATTAACAGCATTCATAGAACCAATCTGAGTTAGGTGTCCAATGAATTGGTTGCATTTTATTTCCTAATGTAGAATTTCCCAAAATGAGGCCTTTCGTTGCACGCTTAGCGTGTCTATCCTGGTTCTATACCGAGCTCAAACTGACCCCACCCCTGTCTTTATCCTGACCCTTTTCCTTCTCTATTCTGACCACGCTTCGGCCACCAAATCTGCCTCTATCCCAACCCCCATTCTCTATCCTAACCACGTCACTGCCTCTATCCCCCAGTTTCTGCACCCAGGTCCTCCAGTCAGCCCCCAACTTCCCCACTTTGCGATGGACATCCCATGTGCCAGTCCCAGTCCTGCCTCTATCCTGACCCCATCCTTGCCTCTATTCTGATTCCTTATTGTCTCTACCCTGAGCCCACCCCCGTCTCTGTCCTAACCACGTCACTGCCTCTCCCCCAGTTTCTGCATGCGGATCCTTCTAAAGCACCCCCCCCCCCAGTCAGCCCCCAACCTTCCCCACCTTGCGGTGGACGTCCCTCATGTGCCAGTCCCAGTCCTGCCTCTCACGGTCGAAGTGCTCCAGAAGCTCTGCCCTCTCACGGCTCCACCTCTTCTCACTGTGCTGCAGCCTCCACAACAGGTCCAGCGAGGTGCTGTGACTCTCTGCCAGGAGACGCCGGTGCTCCTCCCTCTCGTGCGAGAGCGCTACCCGCGGATCAGTGTCTCCAGTGGCTGCTACCTCGGCTGAGCACTCATCTCGCTGACCAGTCACACACAGTGAGTGTTATCATTATTATGGTTACTATTATTCTTATTTATAACACACAGCAAATTCATATATAGACCCACATGCACAGTCTACATTCATATCTTTGCGGGGACTCTCCATTCATTCATATGAGCATAACCATAATTCCCACTATGACAACCTTAAACTCTTCTTCAGCCTTCTACACATATATGGTGATATTTAGGCATAAAAGCCATTTTATCTCACTTCCAGGAAGAAAACAATTGCTCTGTTGGGTGGCTTTGACTGTGACCCAGCTACGACCTCTAGAAGGTGCTGAAGCTGATAGATGAGCACAGAGCCAGTTCCTGATCTCTACCTTCTCAGAGTACAATTCATGTCCTTTTGCCTTTGGCTCAGACTATGACGGGGGAATCAACACAGATGTCCCAGGGGTTCAGATCCTCAGTCTGTGTCAGCTTAGCTTTCCATTAAAGGACTGGAAATAAGTCTTGAGTTTTTTCAACCCCAAAACTAGCCCCACTCAACCCATATCATGCTTAAAATGCAAAGGAGGCCATATTTACTTAATGGGCCTGTCATTGAGTGGAACATCAACATCTAACCTCAGCACTGCTTACATTATTAATATGCAACATGAGAATAAACAGCTAAACACCCGTATCGGCCTAGGAAGATCCAGACGTAATGCTTCTCTTCTGTTCATTTTGTTGTGGGGCCCAGCAGGCCAATGAGAAAGCTCTGATGGATGAGAAGCCCATACCTGTGGGATCTGGCACCGGAGTTCCGCCCACTGCACCTCCCAGCTGGCCTTCTCATTGGCGTAGGCCTGCTGCAGCTGGCTCCGCCGGTGCTCCTCGTCCCGCAGCTCAGAGCGGAATTCCTCCAGCAGCATGCGCAGGGCATGCAGGACGCGCCGGTTCTCCCCTGCCTGTGGGGGAGGCCCAGTCCCCAGCCTTCAGTTAGATGCTCCATCCTCAGTGACCTTCTAGATTCTGCATCATGTATTTCTGACTCTCCACACTAATGGGATGTACATCAGATACCTTGGACATCAGTGATGTGGGCGGCTCTTATTCCGGAAACATTCTGTCTCTCTGGTCAACGCGCATCGTATTGATTATTAAATGATTATTTAATCGATTATTAAGACCATTAAATGCCCTGACAGATAGCATTCAGCTCCGAGCCCACTGGATATTCAGAGGAGGTGGGGCTTGCTGACAGACGCTTCCTCCTCCTCTGGGAAGCCCCGAGGCTGCTCCCACCCTGAGAGAGACCCTGTGTGGGGCACCAGGCGCCTCCTCCACCTCTGGGAAGCCCCGAGGCTGCTCCCGCCCTGAGAGAGACACTGTGTGGGGCACCAGGCGCCTCCTCCACCTCTGGGAAGCCCCGAGGCTGCTCCCGCCCTGAGAGAGACACTGTGTGGGGCACCAGCCCCCGGGGCATGTGCAAGGTGCAGATACTGCTGCTCCCCTGCAGCACATAGAGCTATAGATTAGCATGATGCCAGTGAATGTGGCTCAGGGCTGAGGGAAAGGTTGTTTCCCAGGAGAAGCCAAGCAAGCCAAAGCCACCTCAGCAGCTATTCAAAGTTCAGCAGATACCACCAGATGGCCATCAAAGAAATAAAAGCATGAGAGTTTAAATAGATTGAGCATTATGAGCCTCGTCAGGCATCACTTAAATGTTTTCATAGCATAATGTACCGAATATACTTGTGAAGCTACTGCTGAGTGTGCAGGCTGGATTTTTGAGTCACGCTGCTGAGTGTAAAGTCTTGTTTTACCAGTACTTACCTACAGCACGGCATGACACACTCTGCCATAAGATACCATTTGATGACCTAACACACACTGACAGGCCATGACACAGTATAACATGACGTGACATGCCGACGCACCATGACGCGCTCTGATGCACCGCGATATGTTGAGACACACGCTCTGACATGCCCTGCCACACCAGGACATACTATGACATGCTCCAATAGGCCATGACATTCTTTAACACGGCATGACATGCTCTGATAACATATAAGCTCACACGTACCACGATACGCTATGACGTGCTCTAACATGCCATGGTATGCTCTGATCCACCATGACACTTTATAACGTGGTGTGACATGCTCTGACATACCACAACACACTCTGATGCACCATGACGTGTTATAACACACTCTGATACACCATGACGGTTCTGACATGTTTGACATGTTAAGATACAACTCTGGCACAACACGACAGGCTCTGACACACCACAACTGGCTCTGACATGCCACGACAAGCTCTGACATGGTATGACATGTTAAGGTATGCTCTGACACGCCATGACAGGCTCTGACATGTTCTGACACGGTATGACATGTTAAGATACGATCTGGCACACCACGACAGGCTCTGACATGTTCTGACATGTTAAGATACGATCTGGCACGCCACGACAGGCTCTGACATGTTCTGACACGGTATGACATGTTAAGATACGATCTGGCACACCACGACAGGCTCTGACATGTTCTGACACGGTATGACATGTTAAGATATGATCTGGCACACCACGACAGGCTCTGACACGTCACAACAGGCTCTGACATGTTCTGACACGGTATGACATGTTAAGATACGATCTGGCACGTCACGACAGGCTCTGACATGTTCTGACACGGTATGACATGTTAAGATACACTCTGATACTCCATTACACGCTCTGGCATGCCATGAAAAGGCCTCCAGCACTTAGAGGGCCTCATACCTGCTTCTGGTGTTGGAGCAGCTCGGTTGCCTGGGGAGAGAGACCCGGCTCAGGGCTGCCTCCAGCACCAGGCTGCACACTGGGCTGGTCCTCCCGCTCCATCACGCCCTCCACCTGCTCCATGAGGCGGCTCAGCTCCGGGACACTGTCCAGAGTCTCAGGCTGGGGGGACAGAACAGGGTGTCAACCCATCACTGGCCCTCAGCCAACCGTATGATGTGTTCTTAGTGTTGATACGCATCCCCCCTGGATAGCAGCTACCCGTTAGATTTTCACCTAATCACACCAATTAGTATTGTATTTGCTGATGGAAGACGAAACACCCGCAATTACCAAAAACAAAACAGACTCAATACATAATGCACACTTACAAACTATCAAATTACATGGTGGCCTGTCTTCATTACTACATAATTACATTTACGACATTTGGCAGATGCCCTTAGCCAGAGTCACTTACATAAGTGCTTAGAAGTCTCATCAGTGAATACACTCTGATACTGGTTCAGTAGAACCCGGCTAAGAATACTATCACTCTAAAAGATTCTGTTGACGAGTAATGTATAATGTATATGTTTAATAATAGTATAATCCCGGAATTGCTAATCCAAGTACTTCTGAAAGAGGTAGGTTTTTAGTCATCGTTTGAAGACACCCAATGACTCAGCTGTTTGAACATCTTGGGGAAGTTCATTCCACCACAAAGGTGCCAAACAAAGAGTCTACATGGGAAAATTGTACTTGACGGCAACAGTCAATTGATGCTAATGTGTGGGAGACGAGGGGCTCTCTATCGCCCTCTAGAGGGCTTCGGCCAGATATAGGCAGAGCTCACCTCTGATGGAGCGTCTTCCACAGTGGACTCACTCCGGCGCCCCAGCCGCCAGTTCACCAGGAGCCATCGCAGCTTCACATAGACGGCAGCCATGTTGTGGCGGAGCAAACGCAGCTCTTGCTGAAGCAGAGCCCTCTCCTGGGCCCAGGCCTGCTCCTGCGAGCTTAGCCATGGCTGCGCCTTCCTGCACTCCTTCTCCGCCTCCTCCTTCTGCAAGAGTGTCTGACCACATATCAGTGGGGGGCGCCAGAGCTGCTCATTTTACTACTGAATTAAGGATGATTTCCAGAACATTCCAGCAACCCCAGAAGAATGACAAATGAGTTCCTCAAACAGCCAGCTCTGGCTGGTCGTTGGCTCAGTGTATTATTACTGTTTGTGTTATCATTGCCATCATCATCTGTTTCAGCCCATGCCTGATATTTCACCGACGTAGGCAGCTCACTACCAGCCCTCACGTAACTGTGTCTGCTAGCAGTGTGCCAAGCTCACCTGTGTCGTGCTGCTGCAGTACCCCGGGTCAGGCTGCAACCTTTGCTCCAGCTCAGACTGCTCAGGAACCTCGCTCACCTCCAGCACAGGCGTGTCCCGTTGCTGCCCCCAGAGGAAAAACGGGACGTTACACCTCCTCATGAGCCAGGCCACGCCTGCTCACCGCCCGACTCTGCTAGCAACAATAACTGAGGTCAGCATTAGGTTCTGCTACAGGCTCGTGCCTGACTGATGTACTGCCAGTGGCCTGAGGAGAATGACCACCCCTGAACCCCCAAAGTGGCTGCCCGAGAAAGGCCACAGTAGAGAAAAGCTGCTCAGGGTGGACTGCAGCCCCGGAGAAGTGTGACCCTGTGAATGAAAGGCCCTCTTCCTGAAGCCCTTAGGGACCGTAATCCCCTCTGAATTAGCATGGAGCAGATGGGCCGGCAGCTGTGTGCCATTTGCTTAAAAGTGAACAGTCTGCCAACATTTTAGCACAGTCTAGCATGGTTGAGGGAAAGTTTCACTTCTCAGTCTTAGACCCATCATTGACAGTTTTGGTTGTTGCATCATTTCGTGTATTCATGCTGTAACTTCTCACTATAAAGAACCATAAGCAAACAGCAGCCCTCAGCAGAGGTCCCACGGCAGTTGAATGCCAATGCGAAGGGGGGGCTCTTGGAAGCTGAGGAATCAATAAAGGGCGACGGACTGACCTCCACAATCAAATACTTTGGCCTGCAGTAATTACTGCGTCCATGGGCTCCCCTGCTCTGGCGAGCACCCCAAGGACCGGACTGGGTCCCGGGCTCCGAGGCACGCTCGTGTCCTATCCGCCACTCCAGCTCATCCCTGAGATCGGACTGCGTATCAGGGAGGGGAGAGGGATGGGGGATGCGTGGAGGGATTGGTGCGCACAAACAAAGGACGGGGACGGGAAATACAGAAAGCGAAACAATGGATAAAGTACACAGCGGGACTGAACAAAAAAAAACACGCCCGGACAAAATGGCTAGAACAGAAAGAAGAGCGCAAACAGGAAGACCAACTTAAAGATGACGGCATAAGACAGAGAGGAGAAGAGAACTAAAGCGAGGATGAACAGAATCATGGGCTGAAACATCTAGAAGGACCACAAAGAGGAACACAAGAAGAGAGGGGAGGGAGAAGAATGCAAAACACAGGTTATGAGGCGCATGCAAATGGGGGAACCATGAGTCAAAAACCATAGGCAAGCATGATAACGCTGGAGGATTCAGGCCTCTCAGGCCCTGCCGTGCATGCGTGATGCGTGACCTCAAACCCAGGCAGAGCCCAGCAAGCAAGCATGCAATGGTGCAATCATCCACAGCCCAGTAGCGCTGTCTGGAATAATACAAGATCAGAAGGCCGCAGGTTCTCTGCTCGCTTCGTTGGGTGGCTGGGATGGACATGCTACTCAGCCCGACGTTGGTCTGAGCAGAAAACCTGGGGCCATCATCTTCGACAAGCCCAGCAGCAGAGAAATTCTAGATCCAAATACAGAAGGTGAACCAAAGAGAAGCAGACATCTTCAGCCAAAAGGGATGCTCCTTGACAAGAGTCATCACTATGTATTGTTTGAGGCACCAGAGTATAATAATCACGAGAGACACGTGGAGTATTTCCAAATGTAGTTTCACACTTTTGTAAGAGCCCTCCAGGCAAAATGAAGGTAACGGTGATGCAGAAATCCTCTAGGAGTCAGAAGTAGGTCCTTTCTCAAGGGGTAGTTCAGAAGATAGAGGTCAAATAGGGCTTTTCCCAAAGTAAATACCTGTTAAAATGCATTATGTAGCAGTTTCTCAAGGTATTAACAGATCAAGCAGATAACTGGCAGGACTTCTATCTGCACCATGGAGCTATGTGGAAGTGCGGGGCGGGCCAGGGCGTGTGGAAGTGCACGGTGGGTTAGGGCGTGTGGAAGTGCGGGGCGGGCCAGGGTGTGTGGAAGTGTGGGGTGGGCCAGGGCGTGTGGAAGTGCAGAATGGGCCAGGGCATGCGGAAGTGCGGGGCGGGTTAGGGCGTGTGGAAGTGTGGGGCGGGTTAGGGCGTGTGGAAGTGCGCGGTGGGTTAGGGCGTGTGGAAGTGCGCGGTGGGTTAGGGCGTGTGGAAGTGTGGGGCGGGCCAGGGCATGCGGAAGTGCGGGGCGGGTTAGGGCGTGTGGAAGTGCGGGGTTGGTTAGGGCGTGTGGAAGTGCGGGGCGGGTTAGGGCGTGTTGAAGTGCGGGGTTGGTCAGGGTGTGTGGAAGTGCGGGGCGGGTTAGGGCGTGTTGAAGTGCGGGGTTG